AATGTCAATCTCATATGTCAAAACAATTAAAAATGTCAAAACATTTGGAATAATGTCAAAACAATTCAAAAATTTAAGCATATGTCAAAAAATTAGACAAATGTCAAAACATGTTCACAAATGTAAAATCAAATGTCAATCTCATATGTCAAAACATTTGCAATAAGGGCAAAACTATTCAAAAATTTAAGCATATGTCAAAAAATTAGACAAATGTCAAAACAATTTAAAAATCAAATGTCAATCTCATATGTCAAAACAATTAAAAATGTCAAAACATTTGCAATAATGTCAAAACAATTCAAAAATTTAAGCATATGTCAAAAAATTAGACAAATGTCAAAACAATTTAAAAATCAAATGTCAATCTCATATGTCAAAACAATTCAAAATGTCAAAACATTTGCACTAATGTCAAAACATTTCAAAAATTAAAGCATTTGTCAAAAAATTAGACAAATGTCAAAACATGTTCACAAATGTAAAAATCAAATGTCAATCTCATATGTCAAAACAATTAAAAATGTCAAAACATTTGGAATAATGTCAAAACAATTCAAAAATTTAAGCATATGTCAAAAAATTAGACAAATGTCAAAACAATTTAAAAATCAAATGTCAATCTCATATGTCAAAACAATTAAAAATGTCAAAACATTTGCACTAATGTCAAAACATTTCAAAAATTAAAGCATATGTCAAAAAATTAGACAAATGTCAAAACATGTTCACAAATGTAAAAATCAAATGTCAATCTCATATGTCAAAACAATTAAAAATGTCAAAACATTTGGAATAATGTCAAAACAATTCAAAAATTTAAGCATATGTCAAAAATATTAGACAAATGTCAAAACAATTTAAAAATCAAATGTCAATCTCATATGTCAAAACAATTAAAAATGTCAAAACATTTGCACTAATGTCAAAACATTTCAAAAATTAAAGCATATGTCAAAAAATTAGACAAATGTCAAAACATGTTCACAAATGTAAAAATCAAATGTCAATCTCATATGTCAAAACAATTAAAAATGTCAAAACATTTGGAATAATGTCAAAACAATTCAAAAATTTAAGCATATGTCAAAAAATTAGACAAATGTCAAAACATGTTTACAAATGTAATAACAATTAAAACTGTTAAAACATTTACACTAATGTCAAAAATATTCAAAAATTTTCTCATATGTAAAAAATTTTTTACAAATGTCAGGACATTTTCGCAAATGTCAAAATCAAATTTCAATCTCATATGTAAAAGATTTAACAAATGTCAATGCATTTTCTAATTTGTATTCTAATTTTTATTTCTGTTTTTTATTTTTAATTTTAAATTCTAATTTTTAATTCTGATTTTTATTCTGATTTAATTCTGAAATTTAATGATAATTTTTTTCCTATTTTGAATTTCAAATTAATTGTAATTTTAAATACAAATTTTTATTTTTAATTATATTTAAATTTTTAAACAAATCCTAAACGTTTCAGGAATTTGGTACCTGATAGCCGGGAAGCGGTCGCATGAAAGCGCCCTGAATCCCGGCTATCAGGTACCCTTAACCCCCATACCCCTAAATATAAAAAACTAATTTTATACCCCTAAATATAAAAAACTAATTTTAAAAAATTATTTTTATTTTTATATGCCATATTTTTGCAGCAATATGGCTTGTTTTTTAAAATGAATTGCTCTGGACAGAGAACAATCCAAACAAAAACCAAGCCAGCAGAGAGAAATCTCTCTATATATTTAAGAGAGAATTTACTCTCGCTGATGACTGCAGTGCCAAATTTTTTGCAGCAGTCAACACGAGAGTAAATTCTCTCTTTTATAAATAGAGAAATTTCTCTCTGCGGCTTGGTTTTTGCTAGAATTGTTCTCTGTTCAGATCAATTCATTGCAAAAAGCAAGCCATATCGTGTATAAAATATGGAAATAAAATTTGGAAATTAAAAAAGAGAAAAGTAACTTCATTTATTTAAATAGGTCAATTAATTTTTTAAAGAATTATAATGTAAATTTTTATGTAAAATTTATATTTTTCATTTTTTAAAATTTTATAATGTTAAAAAGTTGTAAATTGTTAAAAAATTTCTAAATTATGTATACAGAAATTTTCTGCATGTAAAAGAAGTTTTAAATTTTAAAAAATTAAAAACTTTTTATGTAATAAAATTAAAAATTTTTTAAAAATTTCAACAATTTAAAGAAACACACACAAACACCCAAACTTGAAATATAGTGGAATAAGGCACGCTGAGTCTGAATCCGAAGTCGAAAAAATATTTAAAGATTTTCGTACAAAGTTAGAGTCTGGAAAGTATTTGAGTCTCAGACACTTTTTAACAGTTTTCTGACAAAATAATCTTGAAATATAGTGGAACAGCAACCAAAGAGTCTGAATCCGAAGTCAAAAAATGTTTTAAAAAATTTTGTGTCAAGTTAGAGTCTTAAAACCCTTTCAGTCCCAGACACATTTTACCCCTTTTCCGGCACAAAAAAACATGAAATATAGTGGAATAAGGCACGCTGAGTCTGAATCCGAAGTTTAAAATGTTTTTAAAAATTCCGAAGTCTAAAATGTTTTTTAAAATTTTGTGCAAAGTTATAGTCTTCAAATCCTTTCAGTCCAAGACATATTTTTACCACTTTTTCGGCTTAAAAACATGAAATATAGTGGAATAACTCACGCAGAGTCTGAATCCGAAGTCAAAAAATGTTTTAAAAAATTTTGTGCGAAGTCAGAGTCTTAAAACCCTTTCAGTCTCATACACATTTTACCCCTTTTCCGGCACAAAAAAACATGGTATATAGTGGAATAAGGCACCCTCCACACCCCTCCACCATGGCCGCTTCGCGGCCATGGTGAGTTTAGTATTAAAGGCTTGCCTTCCAGGCTGCCAATAGCCGATCAGCGGGTCAAAAATGCAATTTTGAAATTTTCAGTCCCAGACTGAAAATGTTCACACTTGAGACTCAAGTGTACTTTTGTTAAAAAACTATTTTAAACAGTCCCTAACATCATTCTACAGCATCCCCCACCCTTGAAAATCATTCCCGCGGCCCCAGACTCTATTTGAAACCCCAGACTCAAGTGTCCCCCTCGAAAATATTTTTAAAAAAACCGCCATCAGCGATAACCTATAAGTCCTCGGAATTGGCCCAATCCGACCAACAACTGGAAAGTTAGTATTTTCACCGATGCCTAACTTCCCAGATCGGACGGGTAACTGCGCCAAATTTAAAAATTTTTTAAATCAAAAAAATGCTAAAATTTTGACTTTTTCCGGGGCCATAACTCGGTCCAATGGAAATTTTATCAAACGTGTTATAGCTCATTCGACGCAGCTCGTCGAGCTCTACAATAATCCCTAAACTCCGAAACCGGTACATTTCGACTTCGAACAAAAAAAGTCAAAAAACCTTAAATTTTTGACAAAAAATTTTTTTAAACCGGAATAACTTTTTTGAAAGTCCGGTGACCCCCGGCATATTATACACCATTCGACGCGGAATCACCTCCTCTATAACCCAAAACAAAAAAACCTCAGATATCTCACCCCCACAACGAGTAATACCACTTGTGGCAAAGTGTCGTTTCTGAGGTACCCTCGCCATTTTCGTATCTAGTCCTGGGAAAATTGTCGGATCGGTGCGAGTCATATATCATTCGATAGCCCTTTAAAATCTCTTCATGGCCGCCAGCAAAAACAAAATTTTTTTCTCCCAAAAAATTTTCAAAAAAAATTTTTGAAATTTTCAACCAAAATTTCCCGAAAGGGTTTAGGCCAAAAAATTTTTCGGAGCGTGGATAGAAAGTTGCCCCTATCACTCATCTATCCAATAAAAAAGACCGCATCGAAATATCTCAAATATTCGCTTGATGCAAAAATGTAGAAAAATGAACCCCCCCTCTTTTTTTATATAATATATAAATATTTTTTATTTACAAAATTCTGCCTGTGTTTGTCAAACATATTATTTTTCTTCTGAGTTAAACTTTTTTTTTCAGAAGACGATACTTCGTCTAAAAATTAAATTGAATGAATTAAAGAAAATTAAAGAAAAAACTGGCCCAGAAATTTCATGATTCGCCTTGATTCGCTTTCAAAAGTACCATAAGAATTTGAAAAATGTGATAAAATTATTAATAAGGGAATAAACATTTATAAAATTTAGTTTTAAAATATTTATTCAATATCTAAAATACCGCTAAAATCAAGAATATAAAGAATTATGAAAAATAAATATAATCCAGGCTTTCAGACTTTTTACTCAGACTTTTTAACAACTGGCAACTACTAAAGGAAAATGTAAAATGAACAAAATTATTTTTAAACATTATTAAGAAATATCTCCGCGATGGACCTTGTCTAAGGCACTTGTCGATAATTTCTTAATCTGCACTTATTAAGAGACTAAGTCCCTTACTATGTAGCTTATTGATAGATATTTCTTAATAATAAAATATTGAGATTAACTTTTATGATAAATATATAATTTAATTACACAAAGCCCTTGGCATAGAAACTTTGAGTTCCAACAGTGAGACTCGGCACAGGAATGTTAAGCCTCTTCAGAAAATAGCTTGGCATATGTCAGAATACTCGCCTTATGGGAATAACATTTTAAGTTGCAACTTTAAAACTTTAAAGCTAGGATTGGGGTTTTCGAGTCGGGCCGACGTTCGAGTCATTTTTTCGGCCTCATTTTTATCGGACCGGTCCGACCGATTCTTTTTCGGGTAAAAATTCTATGCCCGACTCGATCTTTCGGCCCGGACTCTAAATATAATATTTGTTTTTCTAATCTTTGAACGTATTCTCAAATGTCGCATTCTCAGCACCTAAAACATCATTCGGGAGCCGTTTATATAAAATTAAAATATTACTTTAAATTATTAACAAAAATTTTATTCTTTAAAATTAAAATATTATTAAAGATTTTAATTTTTAAATTCTTTGAAAATTGAAGATTTTCTTAGAAATATTCTTCATTAAATGCTTAATGCTAAAATCATAGCAAAAATGCTTGAAAGAATGTAGTTAATTATTCCTTTCTTAAATTTAATTGAAATTGCGCCATTACAACGCTGCCCTGAACAAAAACATTGTTCAACACTTAAATGCTGAAAAAAAATAAATTTTAATTATACTCTCATTTTCTTTGGATGAAGTATTGTTCCTTCCGCTAACCCCCATATTTTTTTATTCATAGGGACCCTTCAGAATTCCATTTTTCAGTCATTAAATCTTTTTTAATAAACTTTTTTTATTTTTTATACCTGTGGAATTTGTGTATCGCCAAGTTGGGAAAGTTCTGATTGTCTTTCTATAGTTATACAACTCTGGGTATTAAGAGGATTGAATGGGGAACATCCACGCATTTCTAACCAACGCCCTTGGAATATTAAAAAATATAAAAATTTTATTCTAGTATTTTTAATTACCGTTGTGGTAACCAATAGTTTTAGTGCACCAAGCACCTAAAGATTATAAAAAATTATATGTATGTAAAAACTATATCAACTTTCCATATAATAAACATGAAGGAATCGGGGAAAGTTTATCTTAACCGTAGTTATTTGGAGATAAAAATATTTGGTATTAGATGTTTCCTTTTACACAATTCAATGAGATGGGAGTGTTAATTTATTTAAAAAAATTCATCTATCAGGGATGAAAATTGTTTTCAGATAAATTGTTTTAAGTTGAAAGACATAGAAGGGAGGCTGCCTATATTTTGGAACAATCCGTGCCTATGTACCAAACTATCGTGGTAATAACAAGGATAAATTTTCGGTTTTCTCATACTTCCTAATACCTTCTATCAACCACTTCTTGTTAATTTCGTTACTACCGATACTCCTAAAGAATTTAATATTCTAAAATTTCACCGGTGCAATATGTACGCACATCACGGTGGCAATCCCCCTCCATATCATTCCGCATACATTTTAAACATTCAACCACTAAAAATGAATTTACAGTTTTAATTAAGTTTTATTTTTAAAAGCAAACTTCCTGAAGCTTTTTTACAGTCAGGTCCCCACCCATCACTCGCTTGTTGTCCTTTTGCGAATTTATCGTTAATTAATAGTTTATTGTTGCAAGGGTCTGATTGCTTTATTTAAATAATTTCAAAAAATTAAATAAAAATGAGTGTACTTGTGATGCCTGGCACAAACTTAGCCCTACTGTTGCTTGCCGGACAAATTCAATTTTATTTGCTGACACTTAAATGGCAAATTTATTTTAGGCTAAAATATCATTCAGAGAATTATATTTATCAGTGTGTTTACTGGACCATATGATCAGTTTCCTCGCCCAGTACCAAACTAAATAACCTAATCTTAAATTAATGGTTATCTAGTAATCATCTAGCCTCGAGTTCAACTGTATTTTTAGGTATTTTTCTGGGGTTTGTTTAAAGGATATATAATAATATGGGATAAGAGATACGGAGATATGTATATCAGGCTCTCTCACTCAATCTCGATTTTTAAGAATTTAAGGATTCTAGAAAACTGATCTAAAATCCAAAAATAAATATTCCTTTCAAATACATACCAACAGTTGCATTCTGATTAGAAGCTCCATAAACACATTCCAAATTCCCAGTAGGAACTGGATAGTCTGGAGGAAAGAAATCATTAAGACAACCTCTTACTATTGAATATATTCCATCTAAAATGGGAGAAAAAATTTTGAAACGAAGCGGGGAAATACACACTTGAGACAATCAACATTTCAATACAAACACCCCCTGAACAATGCGACATTGGTTGTATATTTGTTGTACTGCCTTTTTCTCCACATTTATCAAGAAATGCAAATTGTTTTAACTTTAAATATCAATGTATTATTGATAAGATCCCCCCTCGAGATATTTCCTATCGAATTATCTCCCAAAAATAGGACAGATTATTACCATGCGGCTGACTACTAGACTATGGACCTTGGCGGCTTTTAGAAATTGTGAATTCCCGCCCAGAAACCGTTAGAAGCCAGAATTTCAGTGCAGGCATGGCGGGAGCCCCATTAGAGACTATTAGATACACTATTACGTCAATATATTCGATACCTTATTAGGGTTGCCAGTACCAGCATCACCTTCAAAAAATACTTGAGGCGCTAAACGTAGCCCTGTTCCCTGCCATTCACTCTGTAATATCGGCGATGCACAAGAATAACAACTAAACTTTTTTAAAGCTTTATATTTTTTAGAGTTATAATTACTCGAATTCAGCTAATACTCCATCAAATAAACTGATTCCAATAATTGAATAAAATAAAAAATTAAAAAAATAAAATTTGGACATGTTTAGATTGCTAAAATTTTAAGTAAAAGTTTATGTGTATTTTCTAGAAAGGAAATGAGAATCATGACATTAGCAACACCAAACCCCGTCAAGATTAAGACAATTGGATTTCTCAAGTGTCGTTTTAATCATGGAATAGATTCAGAATACTTCGGCGAAATAATCCCCACTTGTTCGATTTTCTTAAATTTCCTATCTATACCCCGTAAGATTATAGGTTAGAAACCGAACGAAACTGAGAATTTTATCAGTTCGTTTTCATAAATCCGCAGATATGTAATAATGACTAATTCAAATCTTTGATTTTGAAAAAAATTAGTCTTTGATTAAAAAATTTAAATTACATCAAATTAAAAATTAAATGAAAATATTTATTAAATAAAATTAAAATAATTATAAATTAAAAATATTTTTTTGCTCAATAAAATGAAAATGAAATGCTTTATAAAGCAGCGTTTCTAGAAAAAAAAAGAATATTTATCATCTTCTTTAGCACTTTCTAAAATCAAACTTTGCCAATAAATCCAAAATACAAACAAAAAATGACTAATTTTCTTTAGTTTTTGGTTATGAAATAATACCTGAAAATGGTTTTCTTCTTTTTGAAAAATCAGAACAGAAAAATCAGAAGAAAAATCAGAACAGAAAAATAAGAAGAAAAAAATCAGAAGAAAAATCAGAACAGAAAAATCAGAAGAAAAAAATCAGAAGAAAAATCAGAAGAAAAATCAGAAGAAAAAATCGGAACAGAAAAATCAGAAGAAAAATCAGAAGAAAAAAATCACAAGAAAGAATCAGAACAGAAAAATCAGAAGAAAAAAATCAGAAGAAAAATCAGAACAGAAAAATCAGAAGAAAAAAATCAGAAGAAAAATCAGAACAGAAAAATCAGAAGAAAGAATCAGAAGAAAAAAATCAGAAGAAAAATCAGAAGAAAAATCAGAAGAAAAAAATCACAAGAAAGAATCAGAACAGAAAAATCAGAAGAAAAAAATCAGAAGAAAAATCAGAACAGAAAAATCAGAAGAAAAAAATCAGAAGAAAAATCAGAAGAAAAAATCAGAACAGAAAAATCAGAAGAAAAATCAGAAGAAAAAATCAGAACAGAAAAATCAGAAGAAAAATCAGAAGAAAAAAATCAGAAGAAAAATCAGAACAGAAAAATCAGAAGAAAAAAATCAGAAGAAAAATCAGAAGAAAAAATCAGAACAGAAAAATCAGAAGAAAAATCAGAAGAAAAAAATCACAAGAAAGAATCAGAACAGAAAAATCAGAAGAAAAAAATCAGAAGAAAAATCAGAACAGAAAAATCAGAAGAAAAAAATCAGATGAAAAATCAGAAGAAAAAATCAGAACAGAAAAATCAGAAGAAAAAAATCAGAAGAAAAATCAGAAGAAAAAATCAGAACAGAAAAATCAGAAGAAAAATCAGAAGAAAAAAATCACAAGAAAGAATCAGAACAGAAAAATCAGAAGAAAAAAATCAGAAGAAAAATCAGAACAGAAAAATCAGAAGAAAAAAATCAGAAGAAAAATCAGAAGAAAAAATCAGAACAGAAAAATCAGAAGAAAAATCAGAAGAAAAAAATCACAAGAAAAAATCAGAACAGAAAAATCAGAAGAAAAAAATCACAAGAAAGAATCAGAACAGAAAAATCAGAAGAAAAAAATCAGAAGAAAAATCAGAACAGAAAAATCAGAAGAAAAAAATCAGAACAGAAAAATCAGAAGAAAAAAATCAAGACAGAAAAATCAGAAGAAAAATCAGAAGAAAAAATCAGAACATCAGAACAAAAAAATTTTCTAGAAAAAATAACTTCGGGCGCCTATTCGTCCCGCGCTTATTCGTCTCGCGCCTATTTGTCTCGGCGCCTATTCGTCCTGCTCCGACTTTTACAACCCATCAAAAATTTCTTACTGATATATAGGGCATATATATAATAAATGAATAAAAGGATTGAGTGTGGAGCTCAGTTAAGATTGTGGAGGGCACAGACATTCAAGTCTGGTGCCAAACATCGACTAAAGTCGGAAAACAACACCAGCCCCCTCTCTTCACCAATTACCCCCTCTCTTCACCACCTACCCATAGACATTCAGGTCTGGTGCCAAATATCGACAAAGTCGGGAAACAACACCAACCACCTCTCTCCACCACCTACCCTTTCTCCACCACCCTTCCCCCTCACGGCCAGGAGGAAAAGACTTTCCTTAGCGAAGGTTTTGTGGAGGGTAGCAGGCTTGTAAAATATGCTACATGGAGGTAGGATGCGCCATATAAGGCGCAAGTGACTTGTAATTGCATCGGTGTCCGATGAAACTTCTGCGCTCCGATTTTTTTATAAATTTTTTTAAACGGAAATTCTAATTTACCCTAATTTCTAGTGTTTAGACCATTCATTCCCTCAATTTTCTCGTTTTTATTACTCAAATTACCTCTAATTATTTAAGATTTATCGATTAACCATCCAATCTCCTCCTAAATTCCTCTAGTTTTCATGTTTTTCAAACTCTCCGGAACCCAGACATTTTTTTTAAATTAATTCGATGGATAGTTTCAAAGAATATTCCAAGATAAAAAATTAAGTACTATGTAGATCTTTAATTATTTTTAATCTTTTAATCAATTTTAATAGAAGGAAAGATTAACAAAAAAAAGTTTATGTTTCAAATTTTAATGAAAAAATTGTGTTTTTTAGTCTTCAAAATTGCCTTATTTTAGTATGGCTATGGGAAAAAATAAAAAAATGAAAAATATTGTAGTATATAAATACGGGGGGAGGGGGATCAAAATTTTGTCAAAGTACGGCCAGAATAAATCAGGTGAGTCGGGCTGTAATTCAGATCAGAAATGGGTCAGGTTGCCCGAAACATAGTCTTTTTCGTTCAGAAACCCGATCAGAAAAAAATTACGAAATCCTTCTTACTTTTTGTCAACCTAGCCATCCCTGTTTCAGGTCCTATAATTAGTGAAAATATCAATGCACTTTTATTAATTTTTAAAGTTAAAAATGGTGGATAGTAAACGATCAGTTTGGCAATCTGTGAATTTATATTAAATTTAGAAATTAATAAACTTTAAAGTTTAAGGCATTTTAAATCGACTGTCAACCCACAGACTGCCAAGAATATTTTTTAAAAAATAATTTGGTAGAATAGGTCAACTAGCAAGTTAATAAAAAATAATATTAAAAAGTCAGTTAGGCGTAAATAAATAAATAAAGTCTCCAAAACATCAAATAATTCTCCTCAAACTTGATTATTATTCAATTTAGTCTTAACACCCCTTCGGTTATCCATTTCCTCATAAACTTGCTCGAGCGTTTTATTCTTGGTCTCGGGCAAAAACTTGAGTGCAAACAGAATAAATATTAGCAACAGAGCAGTGAATACAAAGAAGGAATATTCAGCCAGAATACCCTAAAAACAAAAATGTTTTGAAAAAATTATGATTTAATTTGTTTTAATTTTCTTCTGATATTTAAAAATTCTGGTTTGTTCTGATTAAAATTTGTTCATGTTTATATTAAATTCTGGTCGGTTTTCTATGAAGTTTGTTTGGAAATATTCTGATTTTACATGTTTAAACTTAAGTTTGTAAATGTTTAGAATTAATTCTGATTTGTAAACTTGAGTTTGTTCGTTAAGTATTTTTAAATGTTTTAATTAATTTTAGTTTAAATTTTTTCATTTTTTGTTCAGCAATAATTTTGTCTTTTATCATATTAGAAAATTTAAAATTTTTTAAAACTCACATCAATAATTGGGAAGAACGTAGCAACGAGTATAACACAAATCCAATTTACAGTGACCGCAAAAGTGCTGGCAACACCACGCAAATTTGAAGGGAACATTTCATTTACATAGAACCAGGGGATAGATCCTAAAATAAATTTAAAATTTTAAAATAATTTTAATAAAATTCACCTGGTCCAGTTGCGAATGAGATGACAAAGAGTAGAACAAAAATAATTGAAAGGAAGGAGACAAATTCAATAGACTAAAAATTAATTTTTAAATTGTTCTGATTTAATTTGTTTGTAAGAAATTCTGAATTAATTTGTTTATTGTTGTGTTGATATTTACAAATTCTGGTTTGTTTTAATTTAATTCTGGTTTTTTAAAATTGTTTCTGAACTTGATTTTAAATGTTTTAGTTTAAATTCATGTTTTAAATTAATTATGGTTTTTGTTCTAATAAATTCTGGTCTGTTTTAAACTAATTCTGGTTTTTATTTAATTCTGGTTTGTAAATGTTTTTATTGTACCTTAGCAACAAGCATAGAAATAGCAATCATTGCCGTTGAGAAGCACATTCCAACCATTCCAGTAATATGAAGAGTTCTACGTCCAAAGCGGGGATGTTCAACCTTTGAAAAATTTAAATGTAGAAGATAAAGCTTTTTCAATATTATACCAAATAAACAGACACAACAGTCATCAAAACATTTATAGCCCCCATTGCAATTGTGGCATAGTTTGGCCCTTTAAATAAAAATTCATGACTGTCAGCTAGCAAAAATTTTTTAAAAGCTCTCACATTGTCCTTTAAGACCGGCTCCCTTGAAAATAGCAGTCGAATAAAACATAGCTATAAAAAATAATTTTGTTAAAATAATTCCCCAGAATAACCCCACCAGCGTTAATTCCACTCAATTGTTGAGAAATCATCATAAACAAAGCAAGAACCAAAGGCCATGGAAGTCTGGTACCATAAATGTCTTTCATTGAGGAAGGAGCTCCAGAATTAGCCTTTGCAGCTTCGTCAGAAATTAAGTCAAGTTCAGCTTGAACCTATAAACAATCCAAAATAAAATCAGAATTAAATCAGAATTCTGGTTCCAAATATGGTTTGATAAATTTAAATTCTGGTTTTTGAAATAAAATAAAAATTCTGGTTTTGCAAAATAAAATCAGAATTAAAAACAAACATCGTCACTCTCACGAAGTTTTTTCAAGTCTTTCTCTGCTTGATCTCTTTGGCCTTTAACAACAATAGTGAATTCAGGGGTCTCAGGGCAGAATGTAAGAGTGCACAGTTGAACAATAACAGGCACCTTTGAAAAATAAATAAATATTAAAAGGGATTTTTGAGTGGAAAATTAATTTTTAAATTTTCCATTCAAAATTAAAAATTATTTAAGAGGAAAACAGAAAGGATTAGAACGAAAACAGGTCACTCTACTAGGACCCTGTCTTCTTCGAAGGTTATAACTAAACGTAAAAATATCATGTTTATTTTAGTATCATCCGTCTTAACTCAAAACCAAAAATTGAGTGCTAGATCCATCTCTTATAAACCCTTTTAAAAGCCCTGAGGTAGTATGGGGAGGTGAAAGATAATTATTAAATTATAATTTTAAAAAAGTACAAAAGTAAAAGCAAAAATAAACGGCCATCTCTCAACAGTTCCCAATAAAAACGGAAGCCCAAGAATCTGAGAGAAAAGGATGGCAATAGTCACAAACAACTGAGCAAACGAGCCAGTCGCTCCGCGCAAGTTTGCAGGTGAAACTTCAGTCAAATACATTGGTGCTAATCCACTGTTTAATCCTAAAAAAGGGGGAAAAATTGTTTTATACCGATAAAAATTTTTTTTAATTTTTTCTTCTTAAAATTTAAACGATCAACTATTTGGATAAAATATGACCCCAAAAATATATTTATTAGACTGATTTTTCTCAGTATAAATCTTGAACAAGAAAAATTATTTTGGGATTGGAGTTAGGAATGGAGTCAACAACTAGAATTGTTGGACCCGGTATCCGGGCCCGGAAAATGTTCGAATATCAGTAAATTATTCGGAGATTTCCCATATCCGTCAACCTAAATTTAAGCCGAAAACACATCGCACCATGGACGCATTTTTACGGTGCAACCCGAAAACGTCTCAGTTCCTGACATTTTATCTCGATAAATTTTTTTAATTTTCTCAATTTACCAGCATTTATTCCAACAATAAAACGGCCCAAAATAAAAAGCCAATAATTTCCCACAAATTTAGCTCCCGCCATTAAAGCCCCAGAGATTATAGCCAAAGCGTTGTTGTACAAAAGTGCACGTTTCCGTCCAAGTTTTGTAGCAACAATTCCAACCAAATTTCCTCCAATCATACCACCAACAGCAAAAACTCCAACTGCCATACCCCTAAAAATATTTAATAATTTTACAGAGAACTCCACCCCCAAAAATTTCAACTAGAGCAGTTCCCGAACCGAGCTAATTTTAACTTGTGACCCTCAAAAGTCCTTAAAATTCCTAATATAAGCCGCCACAAGCTAAAATTAACTGTCGTGAACAACCCTAGCATAACACAATGAAAAGTAGATATATTATATCTCACCATCTTGCTTCAATAGTAGCAGCATCAGATCCAGAAATTTGCTCGGAAAACCATTGTTTGATAAGGTCAGCTAAAAAAAGATGAAGTATTAAAAAATTTAATCATATGTATTTTCAACAGGATAGAGCTCCAAAATATTAAATTTTAAAATTCCATACCGGGCAGATTAATGCATCCAATATGATAACCAAATTGAAAAGAGCTTCCAAAAGCTGCTGCCAAAACAGCAAAAATGAGAGATTTTGTCCAATGTCCTTTCTTAAATTTATTTAAAAAAATAACAGAAATATACAAGTTTTGCAACAGAATTTATAATCAGACATTATTCCAAATAAGATACATTCTTGTGGCTAGGGTTGGGCTGAAAAGCAATATTCCGGGGAAATTTTTGGGTTCAAAAATATAGTTTTTAAAATTCACGTCCAATCAGATAAAATAAAAAAAGAGTAAAGGTTTGTTTCAAAAGGGTTCGAATTTTGCTCGAAAACCGTCTTAATAGATGACGCCTTAAATATGGTAAGACAAGACAGAATGGTTTTTTGCTATTTTGAAGCTTTCTGGAAGATTGATGATCAAGTTTTAAAATTTTTCAAACTTTTCGGCACTCCGATATTCAAATAATCACTATGGCTGACATCGAGACATAGTTTAATTTAAGATAATTAGAATAATTTGAATAAGGGTACCAGTTAAAATTAGGGTTTGACCCCGACCCCGTACCCCGTTCCCGAACGATTTTTTCACGATTCTCCCCGACCCGAACCCCGCCCCGAAAAAAAGTGAAAACCCCGTATCCCGACCCGAAAAGTCACACTCTATCATCTGCGATCAACTGACCTTTTCTATTAATAGGAAAAGATAGCAGAGAAAAACTCTATCATCTATACTTTTACAACCCATCAAAAATTTCTGATTAATATATAGGGCATAAATATAAATAAATGAATAAAAGGCATGAGTGTGGAGCGCAGTTAAGATTGTGGAGGGCACAGACATTCAAGTCTGGTGCCAAACATCGACTAAAGTCGGAAAACAACACAACCACCTCCACCAACCACCCTCTCTCCACCATCTACCCATCCCCATCAGGTCTGGTGACAAACATCGACAAAGTCGGGAAACAACACCAACCACCTCTCTCCACCACCTACCCTTTCTCCACCACCTTCCCCCTCACGGCCAGGAGGAAAAGACTTTCCTTAGCGAAGGTTTTGTGGAGGGTAGCAGGCTTGTAAAATATGCTACATGGAGGTCGGATGGATAAGGCGCAAGTGACTTGTAATTGCATCGGTGTCCGATGAAACTTCTGCGCTCCGATTTTTTTAAATTTTTTTAAACGGAAATTCGAATTTACCCTAATTTCTTGTGTTTAGACCATTCATTCCCTCAAAACTCAATTTTCTCGTTTTTATTACTCAAATTACCTCTAATTATTTAAGATTCATCGATTAACCATCCAATCTCCTCCTAAATTCCTCTAGTTTTCATGTTTTTCAAACTCTCCGGAACCCAGACATTTTTTTTTAATTAATTCGATGGATAGTTTCAAAGAATATTCCAAGATAAAAAATTAAGTACTATGTAGATCTTTAATTATTTTTAATCTTTTAATCAATTTTAATAGAAGGAAAGATTAACAAAAAAAAGTTTATGTTTCAAATTTTAATGAAAAAATTGTGTTTTTTAGTCTTCAAAATTGCCTTATTTTAGTATGGCTATGGGAAAAAATAAAAAAATGAAAAATATTGTATAAATACGAGGGGATAAATTTTGTAAGAAAAAGTAGGGCCAGAATAAATCAGGTGAGTCGGGCTCTAATTCAGATCAGGGATGGGTAGAGTTACCCGAAACAATATCTTTTTTCATCAAAAAACCTGATCCGAAGAAAATTTTGAAATCCTTCTTGCTTTCTGCCAACAGTACCCATCCCTGTTTCAGATCCTATAATTATTGAAAATGTCAATGCACTTTTATTATTATAAAGTTTAAAAAATGGTGGATAGTAAATGATCGGTTTGGCAATCTGTGAATTTATATTGAATTTAGAAATTAATAAACTTTAAAGTTTAAGGCATTTTAAATCAATGGTTAAAGCCACAGACTGCCAAGAATTAAAAAAAATAATTTGGTAGAATAGGTCAACTAGCAAGTTAATAAAAAATAATATTAAATAAAAGTCAGTTAGGCGTAAATAAATAAATAAAGTCTCCAAAACATCAAATAATTCTCTTCAAACTTGATTATTATTCAATTTAGTCTTAACACCCCTTCGGTTATCCATTTCCTCATAAACTTGCTCGAGCGTTTTATTCTTGGTCTCGGGCAAAAACTTGAGTGCAAACAGAATAAATATTAGAAGCAGAGCAGTGAATACAAAGAAGGAATATTCCGCCAGAATACCCTAAAAACAAAAATGTTTTTAAAAAATTCTGATTTGATTTGTTTTAATTTTGCTTGTGTTATTTAAAAATTCTGATTTGTTCTGATTAAAATTTGTTCATGTTTATATTAAATTCTGGTCGGTTTTTATTTAAATTTTGTTTATAAATATTCTGATTTTACATGTTTTAATTTATGTTTGTAAATGTTTAGAATTAATTCTGATTTGTTTAGAATTAATTCTGATTTGTTTAGAATTAATTCTGATTTGTTTAGAATTAATTCTGATTTGTTTAGAATTAATTCTGATTTGTTTACTTTAACTGTTTTGTAAACTTAAGCTTGTTTGTTAAGTATTGTAGCTTTAAATGTTTTAATTAATTTTAGTTTAAATTTTTTTCTAGTTTTTGTTCAGCAATAATTCAGTCTTTTGTTCGATCAGAAAATTAAAAAATTTCTAAAACTCACATCAATAATTGGGAAGAACGTAGCAACGAGTATAACACAAATCCAATTTACAGTAACCGCAAAAGTGCTGGCAATACCTCGCAAATTTGACGGGAACATTTCGTTTACATAGAACCAAGGGATTGATCCTAACATTTATGAAAATTTTTTGAAGTCATTTTTAATAAAATTCACCTGGTCCAGTTGCGAATGAGATAACAAAGAGTAGAACAAAAATGATTGAAAGGAAGGAGACAAATTCAATAGACTAAAAATTAATTTTTAAATTGTTCTGATTTAAAAAAAGTTTGTAAAAAATTCTGATTTTAATTTGTTTGTTGTTGTGTTGAATTTATAAATTCTGGTTTGTTTTAACTTAATTCTGGTTTTTTAAGTTCTGAAGGAATTTTTAAAATTCTGTTTCTAAACTTGTTTTAAATGTTTTAATTGATGTTTTTAAATAATTCTGGTTTTTATTTTGATAAATTCTGGTTTGTTTTCAATTAATTCTGGTCTGTTTTTAATTAATTCTGATTTTTTGAGTTCTGAAGGAATTTTTAAAATTCTGTTTCTAAACTTGTTTTAAATGTTTTAATTTATGTTTTTAATTAATTCTGGTTTTTGTTCTAATAAATTCTGGTCTGTTTTGAATTAATTCTAGTTTGTTTCTATTTAATTCTGATTTGTGAATGTTTTTATTGTACCTTAGCAACAAGCATAGAAATAGCGATCATCGCTGTTGAGAAGCACATTCCAACCATTCCAGTAATATGAAGAGTTCTACGTCCAAAGCGGGGATGTTCAACCTTTAAAAAATTTTTTAAATGTAGCAACATAAAGCTTTTTCAATATTTTACCAAATAAACAGACACAACAGTCATCAAAACATTTATAGCCCCCATTGCGATTGTTGCATAATTTGGCCCTTAAAACAAAAATTCAAGACTGCCCGTTAGCAAAAATTTTTTAAAAACTCTCACATTGTCCTTTAAGACCGGCTCCTTTGAAAATGGCAGTCGAGTAAAACATAGCTATAAAAATAATTATTTTTAAATAATTCCCCAAGATAACCCCACCAGCGTTAATTCCACTCAATTGTTGAGAAATCATCATAAACAAAGCCAGAACCAAAGGCCATGGAAGTCTGGTACCATAAATGTCTTTCATTGAGGAAGGAGCTCCAGAATTGGCTTTTGCAGCTTCGTCAGAAATTAAGTCAAGTTCAGCTTGAACCTATAAACAATCCAAAATAAAATCAGAATTAAATCAGAATTCTGGTTCCAAATATGGTTTGATAAATTTAAATTCTGGTTTTTGAAATAAAATAAAAATTCTGGTTTTGCAAAATAAAATCAGAATTAAAAACGAACATCTTCACTCTCACGAAGTTTTTTCAGGTCTTTCTCTGCTTGATCTCTTTGACCTTTAACAACAATAGTGAATTCAGGGGTCTCAGGGCAGAATGTAAGAGTGCACAGTTGAACAATAACAGGCACCTTTGAAAAAAAAATATTAAAAGGGATTTTTGTGTGAAAAATTAATTTTTAAATTTTCCATTCAAAATTATTTAAGAGGCAAACAGAACGGATTAGAACGAAAGCAGGACCCTATACCACGACCGTCTTCTTTGAAGGAATAACTATCATGCGTTTTAACTCAAAGAAATAGGTAGAATCATCCCAAAATTGAGTAGATCTGACTTTCATAAAACTTTTAAAAGCACTAAGGTAGTATGAAAAGCCTGAGGTAGTGCTTTTAGCAACCTTTTAAAAACCCTGAGGAAGTATGGGTGTGACAGATAATTGATTAGATTAAAGTTTAAAAAAAGTACAAAAGTAAAAGCGAAAATTAACGGCCATCTCTCAGCAGTTCCCAATAAAAACGGGAGTCCAAGAATCTGAGAGAAAAGGATGGCAATAGTCACAAACAACTGAGCAAACGAGCCAGTCGCTCCACGCAAGTTGGCAGGCGAAACTTCAGTCAAATACATTGGTGCCAATCCACTGTTTAATCCTAAAAAATTGAAAAATTTGTTTTATACCGATTGAATTTTCTATTTTTTCTTTAATTTTAAATGAATATTAGGATAAAATTTGATCCCAAAAAATACATATATTATCCTAATTTTTCTCAATATAAATCTTGAAAAAAGAAAAATTATTTTGGAATTGGAGTTAGGACTGGAGTCAACAACCTGGATTGTTGAACCCGGTCTCGGGATCAGAAAAATGTCTGAATATCAGCAAATTATTCGGAGATTTCCCACTATCCGTCAACCTTAAAATCCAATCCAAAATCACATCGCTCTATGGGCAAAATTTTTACGGTGCAACACCAAAACGTCTTTGTTCCTTAAGACATTTTATCGCAATAAAAAATTTTAATCTTCTTAATTTACCAGCATTTACTCCAACAATAAGACGGCCCAAAATAAAAAGCCAATAATTTCCCACAAATTTAGCTCCCGCCATTAAAGCCCCAGAGATTATAGCCAAAGCGTTGTTGTACAAAAGTGCACGTTTCCGTCCAAGTTTTGTAGCAACAATTCCAACCAAATTTCCTCCAATCATACCGCCAACGGCGAAAACTCCAACTGCCATACCCCTAAAAATATTTAATAATTTTACAGAGAACTCCACCCCCAAAAGTTTCAACTAGGGCAGTTCCCGAACACCAGCTAATTTTCAACTGGGGCGGCTCAAAAGTCTTTAAAATTCCAAATATAGCCGTCGCAGGCGAAATTAACGGTCGTGAACACCCCTAGCATAACACAATAGAATGTGGATATATAATATCTAACCATCTTGCTTCAATGGTGGCAGCATCAGATCCAGAAATTTGCTCGGAAAACCATTGTTTGATAAGGTCAGCTAAAAAAAGATGAAGTATTAAAAAATTTAATCATATGTATTTTCAACAGGATAGAGCTAAGAAATATCCAAAAATAGTTTTATAAATCCAAATAAAATCCTCAAAATATTAAATTTTAAAATTCCATACCGGGCAGATTAATGCATCCAATATGATAACCAAATTGAAAAGAGCTTCCAAAAGCTGCTGCCAAAACAGCAAAAATGAGAGATTTTGTCCAATGTCCTTCCTTAAATTTATTTTAAAAAATAACAGAAATATACAATTTTGAAACAAAATTTATAGTCTCTTGTGAGCTAGGGTTGGACTGAAAAAAGTACAATAGTTCGGGGATTACTAGAAAATTAAAAAAAAACCGTATAAAGTACAGGTTTGAGATACTAGGCCCTACCTAACAAGGAGTATTTGCTCATTCGATAGAGAATGTGCACTTTCTTGCAAGGAAAAAATTATGCCAAATTTTGGGACTTTGGAAGGCCATATCTTGGCCAGATCAAAAAACGGGCAAAAACGGCTCAAAATCCTTGCTAGAAAGGGCACATTCTCTATCGAATGAGCCCGGTCTCGACCGTTTTTAGGTCGGACACCTCGCAAACTCTCCTTGTAAAAGTTCTAAAATACGTCCCATTATATAATACTTCTTTATAATCCAAGGGGGTAACTTATAGAAAGCTTATTCGACTGTATTTTTAATTAGTTTCACCATTTTCTTATTTCTGTCTGAGGTTGTCCTCTGAAACTTTTCTGTACTAAATGATGAAGAATCACCGTTATTAATGATTATTGGAGAAGATATTTTTATATTCTCCTTTTCATTATTTTTAGTTGATGAAATGCTCATAATAAAAATATTATTTTTTACTAATTATAATAATAATAATTATTTTTTAACAGAAAAAAATTGGGGAAAGAAACTAGTAAAAAATAGATTAAAAAGTAGCTAAACAAACAATTATTTTATACCCAATAAACCGTTTAATGATTTTAACAAACTAATTTTATTTGTTTTAGGTTTGTCTAAAAGCGAGAAAAAAAGTTTAAAAATTTTTAAAAATTTAAAAAAAAAAGAGAAAATCGATCAAGAAAAATCCTGTGATCTACTGTTTCCAGTTGTAAAAAAATTATGAAGGCCTTACAAGATAAATATTTAACTTTTAAAATTTATAAAACCCAGAGCTTTTGAAGGCTTACGCTTAGTCATGAGAATCACTGGCTGAATACAGTCGAATCTCAATAAAACGTCTCAACCGGAGCGAATTGTTCTGATCTAGTAATGAAAGAGACAATACTAACGGAGAGACATGTCAGAGAGATTCAACTGTAAATAATTTTTAATGATAGAAAGATAAAAAATTAACAAAATTTAGTTGGAAAGACATATGTATTTCTCGCTTATAATAAGCAAACTAAACAATAAACTTTTTTTGAGTTTTAACGAAAGCTTAAACAAGAAAATTATTTTTCAAATATTTGATTTATTATTGACATCATAATAAAAACATTTTTGAATGCACTATTTTTAGTAAACGACCCAAAAATTGTTTTAATCGAAAATAGGTTGCAGAAAATCTTACCTACTTATCTTTTAGTTTTGGGGGATTTTAAGGTAATAAATTGAAATGTTTTTAATGTTTTTATGAATCAATTTAAATTGTAAAAAGTAGTAAATATTTTGTAAAACGTGTTTTTAAAAATTAAAATATTACAAACATTAATCTTGAACAGATACAAACATGCCTTAAAATGTTTTTAGTTGTCGAAAAGAAAATGTTTTATCAATAACATACCTAAACAGACTTAAAAGGTTTATAAGATCATTTCAAAAACATTCAAAAAAATTCCAACAATTAAATAAAACAATTACAATTAAAAGTGTTTTACAATCAAACATTTAAAAACACAAAAATAAAAATGTTTCAAAACATTGAATAAACTTTTCAAACAAACAATAAAAACATATCCGGAACTTGTAACTTAAACATCTTTCATTAAGAGAAATTTAACTAAACTTTAAAAACATAAACAATTTTCAGTAAAAACAAATAAGAACATGTTTCACATACATTATCTTTTAATTCTGAAAAACATTTCTTCCACACATCACTAAAAACTTTTAAAAACATGCTTGACAAATTACACAATTAAAAACAATAAAAACATTGCAATAAAACATGCAATAAAAACATGGTTTACAAACATCTATTCTAATACAAAAAGATGTTTTTCATAGATTTATCAAAACTTTGTAAAAACATGCTCAACAAACTTATTCCAAAAACATCTAAAACATTTTACTACAACAAACTTTACAACAAACTTGAAACAATAATTAGCTTGATATAAAAACATTTAATGAACATGTTTTAAAAACTTCCGAACATCCCCCAAAAACATTATCACAAACTTAAAAACATTTTCAAAAACACTTAAAACATTTAACTAAAACAAGTTCAAACTTGAAATAAAGAACAAACTTTAAGAACAAACTTAAAATAAGAGTAGTACAAATTCAAAAAATATAAAATGACCTTATTCAAAAATAAAATATTATTTAAAATAACAATTTAATTGTAAGCCTACGCCCCTTCAAAATTTACAAAAAATATTAATGACTTATCCCAAATTTAATGTTTGAGAAATGACTAGTCTATTATACAGAAATGTTTGTTGATTTAAATGTTTCTAGTTAAACAAAAAATTTTTAAAAGAGCAAAAGAAGCTTAAAATAAAAGAGCAAAGGTAAAACAAAAAAGAAATTCTAAAATTAGTTTTATTAAAAAAATTTAAAAATAGATAAAAATGAGTATTTAATTCTTAAGCAGCTAAAAGTCTGTGACTAACAAAAGAAAAAATTTTTTGGAATTGGACCATTTTTCTTTAAATTTTTTTTTCAAATTTACTTAATATTAAATAACTGAATTCTTCTATACTTTAAGCTGATAACAATAACTGAACATATCACACACATTTTTACGTGATTAATTTAATGATTCCCATAGAATCTATTTCTTATCGTTCTGATAAAAAATTAAAAAAAATAAAAGTGGGCAGTAGAGTCTAATCAAGAAATTAAAAAATGCCTTACTCCTAGAAACAAGATTATTAAATACAAGAAAATAAATAAACTAAAATAGGAAGAATAATATACTATAACAAATAAATCTTAAAATAAACAAAATTTAATATATTGTGTAACACCATCCATCTTTTCATTTGTCAACTTTTTTAAACAACAAAACGGTTAATCAACCCATGTGTAATCAAAAATGTATTCACCCTTAATCATGAACTTTAAGGTTCCTATCTTTTCTGATCAATTTAGTTTTTGCCTAAGACCAGTAAACTGAAATATCTCGATATAATTCTTCCCTTTCCGCTTTACTACTGCGATCAGTTTGGATAAATTTTGAATCACTTTCTGATAAAATAATTGGGAAGAAACAAATGAAAAGTCAAAAATTGGCAAAAATCATACTAATCGTATTTCATCTAGACTCTAATGGGAATTTACTTAAGAATGTACAGATAAAAGTTGATTGACCTTTTAAAAGAGAAATGGTGTGGTTATTGAAAAGTCAAAAATTTCAAAGAATCATCCTAACCGTCTTTTCTGATCAATTTAATTTTTTGACAAAAGAAAAATTTTTGGAATTGGACCATTTTTGTTTTATTTTTGTTTCGAATTTACTTAATATTAAATAACTGAATTTCTAATACCTTTCTAATAACTTAATTTCTAATATTAAAATACCCTCAAAAAATACTTCTATCAATCATTTAGTACAAAAATTCAATTCAGACTCAAACAACCAAAAAATTTTTTTTAAATTTTCAAATCCAAAGATAACCCACCGGAACAGTTAGTTTAGCTTTTTGGTCATCACCAGTCCCATCCTGTCTCGCAATTAGCAACGGCTCACGTTGTTCCGCATCTTTTGGAACGCCAGCAATTTCAGTCTTGTCGTCAGTAGGGGGATTAGAAGGCTGTTGTTGTTGTTCAGCCATAGTCCCGTAAGTAAATTCTTTAGGTTTTGAAGAAATAAGTGGGGAGTTAATATTAAATTTAGAAGAAAATTATTTTTGATAACTTAAAAAATGATAAAATTGTTTATGTTAAAATAAAAGGGTAAATTAAAGGTTGGAATCGAAGGGTTGTCAGTTGGAACTTGGAAATTGAAAATAAAAAAGATGTAATAGGAAATGAATGTACCGTATTTACTCGATTAATTCCCCTCCCTCGAATAATTCTTCCAGCTACGGATGGGTTGAAAAAATAATTCCCCAGGGGAATTAATCGAGTAAATACGGTATCTAAAGTATATTGGATATGTCTGAACAAAAATTAAATTTTTAAATAAAATTTGAAAATAAATTTAGTAAAATTATGTATCAGATAATAAAAGAATTTTATTAATTTTTTAACTCTAAATTTTTTATAAAATAATCAAAAAGCAGATTTAAAAAGTATTTTGTAGAAAATTTTAATTTTTTATCGAATGATACTAAATTCTTAAGAAAAAAAGAGACTAGTTTCGGAGCTGTGACTCAAATGTACTCCGAGTGTGGAAAATCAAGTGTGAAAAATAATAATTAAATTATTGTCCTTTTGTAAATGCTTAATAGTAAATAAATAAAAGAAAATAAAGCTAAAATAAAGCTTTCAATAAAAATTTCAGTCATGAGTTTACGTGGGAGTTGAAAAAATGAGAAAGAGAGAGAAGGGAAGAGAGGATAGAGAGAAAATAAAAAAGGCGTAAAGTTTAAAGAAAAAAGCCTCCACGTGGTGTAAACAACCGTTCAAAGCATTTCCCACATTCTTTTTTATTTTTTAAAATGTTCTTTGAAGTAAGGAAAAAGGGCGCTTCTATTAAAGACTGCAAATTGGAGGCGTGGTCGAGACCCTGGTTTTTACGGAAACTCGAAAACTAAAACGAGGGACCGCTAAGAAGAAAAATTGAAAGAGCCCGAAACTCGAAATGTCGGTACAGCTTTGTTTGAGACTCTCTAATTGAGCTAATTGAGACTATACAAGGCTAAATTAATCATAAAAAGACTAAATACTGTATTGCCAGTATTAAAGCCCTCGCCCATATTAGAGCCCTTATTTATTAAAGTACCCTTTGTTTCAAATTTACTTAATATGAAATAACTGAATTCCATTATACTTTAAGCTGATAACAATAAATGAACACAATACAAAGATTTTTACGTGATTAAGAAAATGAATGAAGAAAAGATATAATAACATAATTTTGTAGAAATTTTTTTCTGGACAAAAATAGATCTAGAAAATATTTATTTTAGCAGAAAATTGACTGAATGTTGACATGAAAATGGAGAAAGGGAGAAAGATTTAAGAGAGCGAGAAAGGCAAAAATACTAAATAGAAAATTACTTGTGTTTATTTACTTGGATGAATTGCAAGTGGAGGGTTACACTAGAGTATGGAATAAAAAAAGAATTTTGATGGAAAAAAGAAAAATTCGTTGAGAGACACTAATGGCCCCTTTTCTCCCACAATTTGCGGAGTAATCAATTTTTGGTGTGTAAACAAATAAAAGATGGACACATAAATATTTGGAAGGAGTAAAATATGTGGTGAAAGACAAGTCCAGACTTGCAAAAAATAATGGACAAAATGTCCAAAGATTAAATGCCAAAAATAAAATTTAATATTTTTTTTTGGGAAAAGGAAAATTGATAAAGGGGGGAGGAGTAAGGGGGGGGGGGTTATTAAAAAAAGAGAAAGGGTAAGGGGCAAAACACCCTCCAGACAAAACATTGTCCAAAAATTGAGTAAAAAATACCGTCTAAATTTACCGAAAATTAAAATATGTGTCGTCTATGGCTATAAGTTATCCATTGCCTAGAAATTTATTTTATGTGAAATGGATGGATTTTTACTTTAATGTGGACGGAGTTTTGGAAGGATACATACACCTATTCTGACACGTGGAGGATTTATATAAAAATGAAGAAAACTAAAAAACAGTAATGATTATGAAAAAGTGGAATATTTTAGTAAAACTTGGAAATTATAAAAAAACATAAAAAAGATTGAGGAGCGTCTTAAGCTGAGCTACACCGAAATTTTGAAGCAAGATTAAAATTTATTGAATTTAGCCCTTGCCGCGGTTTCAAGGAGTTGAACACACATGGAGATAATGTTGCGGGAAAATTGAATAAATAAATAAAGAAAAAATGTTGCGAAGTATGGAAGAGTAAAGAAAAAAAAAGAGAATTTTCAAAACAAAGCACAATTTTTCAAAAAGAATTTTATAGTTTCTAGGAACATGGAGGAGGGATTGTCGACAATAAAAATAAATAAATTAAATTTTCTAACAAAGAAAAAAACAATTCCGCAAAAAAGGGAAAAACTATTTAATAATTACTTTTTGCCTTTATAACCTTTGGTCTTTTTGTTATCTTCAAAAGAAAATCGGCAAGAAAAAAGAAGTTTCTTGCCGATACTTTTTACAATAGTCAAGTCAACAATAAACAATTACTCTAAAATCGATCCTTTTTGGTTGTGATAGTTAAATGCTATATAAATAAAAATTAAAATACTAAGTAAAAAAGATCAACAAATTTTTGGTCAAAATTCCAATTAAAGAGAGAGAGAAGGGACATTAGAGTCTTATTTACTACTATATTCATGCGAGGCGTGATTTTATAGAGTTTGGAAATTTTGGAAGTGTTGTTGCTTAATTAAATATTAATTAATAAGTTTGAGATAGTAAGTAGGGAAGGGATTAGTGCTGGGTATCTCCGGCCCCGGGCTTTCAAAATCATAGCTCCGGCTCCGGAGCCATACCAAGCACTGGAAGGGATTAGGCAGAATTACAACAGAGAAACCATACGTAAAATATTTATCAAGATAATTTAGAATGGGTAATATTAGTCAGACTATAAGAGAAACTTTGGGGCTGGCAAAATTGTATCTTATAATTGGAAGGGCCTCCTAAACATTGAATATTTATACTTAATGTTAGCAACTCTCGCTCTACTCAAACATTGACTAAAGAGCTATCTGTAATTTTCTAAGAATTATTAGAAATATGAAAAATTTTATATTAATAGTCGATCGGTCAGTTGGGTCCAGATATACTATCTTTCTAAGCTATATTTTGTTAGTTGATAATAGGGGCTACCCTACAAAACATATTTTTTTAAAACATCAAACGCTCAAAACATCTAGACGGCTAAAGAGGCTCAAAATATATTCGCTCAAAACATCAAACACTTAAAATATATTTACGGTTAAAAACGCTCAAAATATCAAAAAATATTTTTTTAATTAAAAGGGACAGTTGAGTGCCCTATTTCCTCCTTTTATCAGGGGTGAATAATGTAGTACTTCAGGACCAATTTTTCATGAGTTCGACGTGCTGAGTCGACTGACACCAAAATCAGCTCGAATGGATGATTTTTGACAAAGTTATGACCAGCAGAATCTTCGCTGGAAAAACTGTTTTTGTGCTGCTACGGAGGGTAGGCCGGGCATGGTCTTCGCTACACGATGGCCGTGCTTCGCTGCGGTCGTGCTCGCTTCGCTCGCGGCGACCGTAGCGAAGCGGCGGCCGTCGTTCCGCTCGACATGCCCGGCTTCCTCCGCAGCGGCAAAAACTTTTTTCCGCGGACTCAACTGTCCCTTTTAATTAAAAAAATATATTTTGATATTTTGAGCCTTTTTAGTGTCTAGATATTTTGAGCGTTTGATGTTTTGAGCGAATATATTATGAGCATTTTTACCCGTCTAGATGTTTTGAGCGTTTTTACCCGTCTAGATATTTTAAGTGTTTGATGTTTTGAGCGGGCACGATAATAGGACTAGGTAACGACAGTCAATAAATGTGAGAAAATTTATTTTGTTTATAATTGATGTGAAATTAAATTGAAAATTGGCAATACTTTTACAGAATTTATATTTAATTGTGAGGAAATTTTAGTCGAAAAGTGACAAAAAATATCAATTTTTCTTGTTTTCTGAACACAGAGTTTTTTCCGAATAAAATTTTAGGTTGTTGAATGGTTGGGACTCAATTGGATTGCCAGCTTTGAGAAAAGGATTATTTCAAAATAAAATAACATGTGCCAAGTCATGTCATCGAGGAGATGAGTAAACTACAAAGTACTTTTTGGCCTCAAAGAATGGCCATAAAGTACTCACTCTGACTGGCTGTCACAACAAAAGATAAGAGGAAGAGAAGAGAGACATGTCTGGAGTGAATGGAATAATTCTCAATAACTAAGCTAATTTTAGACCAATTGAGTTAAATTTAGTATCTTTCTACTCAGAATGAAAAGCTAAATTTAATGAGCTAAATATTATTTTTGAAAATTAAGGGAAAAATCTGAAAATTGGTAATTTTAAATAAAGGGTTGGGTATAGTCTGGCATTTAGTCACACTGACATTTTTGTTGAAAGTTTGATTAACTTCTTTCACTTTCTTTATCAATCCATGGATGAAAAACTTCGTTATATTAAGTATATTTTTAGAACCAGCATTTTTGGCCATAATTTATGAAACTAATGGGTAGGGTTTCACCGGAACCGACATTTTGACCGGAGCCGGAACCTGAAGCAATTTGAGTTCCGGTTCCCGGAACCGGAACCAAAAAAAACACCGGAACTTCCGGTGAAACCCTACTAATGGGTAAATGCATCGTTGCAAGGAATTTTATTTATAGTTTATATATCACATAAATATTGTCAAGTAACCCCCATTAAATTAAATTAAAATTGAGTTTCTTTCAATAATAATATCCATTCCTTTTAAGATTATATTCTCTTTGATCTGCAGAATTTGTGTATTTTATAGCCCCAGGGTACGGAAAGTGGTGAACATTCCTTTAAATTAAAATAAAAATTAATTACTTTATTTTAGTGGATGTGGCTTTGAATCCTTTTTAAACGGATTTATTCTGTCAGATCGTTAACATGGGCATTCTCGAATAAAATCTTATTTTGATTAGTTTGGACAGGATTTTATTCGCATTACAGAGTTTAACGTCTCACTAAAAGATTACTCTTCCTAGGTCCTCTCTTAACTTCCTTTATATCTGTACCAAGGGAAAGGAGTTCCCCAATGATCATTCCAAAAAATAAGGTTATGTCAAATAGGGAATCTTAAGTTATCAAATTTGCCTTCATATAGACAAAAAGTGTGCGAAAATTTCTTTTTTCGCTTAATTTTTAAAATTTTTTAAAAGTTTTCGAATTGGAATTTCAATGTTTATGATTTCTCTTCTCTATATAAATAATTCATCTAAATAACCTAGCATTGTAAAAAATAATATCTCCATCTGTTTGTATAGGATGGCGAAGAGAATGTCGTATAGCACGTATAGCATAACAAACAACCAATGCTGAACAGCAAATAACGACAATAATAAAACAGCCAACAAATATCCACCTAATAAAGTAAAAAATAAAGGGAAATAAAATAAGGATAGAGTATATGGCCGAAAATGGCAAATTATTACACGGCTGTGTCAATTTACCCTAATCGAACAAAGGAGGTCGAGTTGGGCTGCTGATCGAAAAATGTTCGGATATTCGGAGATTTCCCGGATCGGCCAACCAAGTTTCGAATATTCGAAGAAGGCACTTTTAGCTTTTTGCGGAGTTTATTTGTAATTTAAAATGTAGATAAATAATATTTATATTATTGAAATTTAACTTAAAATCTGTAGGAACAGGGATCAGTATTGTTCCTTTTTGTCCTATCAAAATTTTAATTTAAAACAAACGTTAAAAAACGCAAATCGAAAGGTAAACAAGCATAATGTGCACTAGTGGAAGAATCGCCACAACGATCCACCCAAATACATTGTGCTGGTTCTGGACATGAACGAGTGCCTTTTAAATAAATTCTGATAAATTTGAATAATGTTTTTATTTTTGATTCTTCAAAAAATTGTATTTTATGTACCTATTTTAATTAAAAAATGCTCTTAAACATAAAACATTTTTCTGGATTTATTCCATAAAATAAATCCAATTATTATGGAACTGCCAAGCGGTACCGGAACAGGGATCATTATTGTCCCTGCCTCGCTCTTCTAATTAAGGATCAGTAGTGTCCCGTGTGCACTCTTCTACTAATTAAAAAATATTCTCTCACAATAGTCAGCTGTTTCAAAACATCCTCGATTTTCTCCAAATACAATGTTTCCCATTTTAATTTATTATTTAATTATTAAATTAAAAAAAAAAGAAAAAAATCAGTTGTTTAAATAATTAAATTAAAAAATAAATTGATAAAAAATATGTAGAAGAAAATGGGGGGAATATTTTAAAAATGAAAGGGAAAAGAGAAGAAAGAACAGGTTTTTGGGGGTGTTATCACAATTTAACAAAATAAATTTTTTAAAATTTATTTTAAGACGAGAATTGATTTTAATTTAATAAATTATAAATTTTAAAGGAAACTTTTTGGGATAATTGGGAAGTTTGAAACATTAGCTCTCCTTCAGCTGCCGTGGGGACATTTTTTATAGCTATTTAATCTTTCTAATATCATTTAAATTATTTAAACTATGGTAGCAAAACGACCCCGAAACCCCGACAAATTTTGTGGCACAAACCCCGACCCGAACCCCAAAGCGGCCGCATGCTATCTTAATCGTTTAAAAAATTAATTTAGCTTAGCCTCCTGATTTGTCATGTTATGTAAGGCCAGTTACTTCGCAGCCTAGCAAATAAATCAAAAGGGAAATGATCAGTCAATGACTGTCACCAATTTCCATTTTTGTTTTTAATTAAATAATTATTTCAAATTAAAAACCCCAAACAAAAAACAAATTAACACAACTGTTAGTGAAAATTAAAAAATAATTTTATTTAAAGATTGATTTATTTGTTTAAATTAAAAAGAATGTTTGGAGTTAATTGATGATCAAATAATAAAAGATCAAAAGGCAAATGGATTAAAAATATAAATAATTTATCTATAATTCTTGTTTTTTTGATTGGATTTTCATTTCTCCATAACCTCTTTATCACTCTTAATCCAACGATATCTCTCTCAAATCTTGATATATAACATAATCTCTCTTACTAATTAATTAACGACACTTTAATCTAGGGTAGCACCACGAGACTTCAGGGGTAGGAGTGTCGGGTTTCGAGGTTTGTCGAGATAGAGCCTTCGGGGTTCGGATCGGGGTTTTTGCCTGAAAATTCGTCGAGGATCGGTTTCGGGGGACAGGGTGTACCTTACTTTAATCCCTCGGTCTCTAGTGAAGACATAAACTTTATCCGAAATTTAAATAGGTATGTAAATAGTGGTCATAAAATCCAAGTGGCCAAAAGTGTAAAAATTTTTTTAAATTTAATTTTTAAATTAATTTTTTAAATAAATTTAAAGAACACACAAAGTTTACCATTTGAAGAAGAAATATTAATAGTAGTTGATAAAGGGTGAAAGGCAGGAAGTTTATTTAAATATAATAGGGAAAAATGAAAGAATATTAGGTAATTTAATTAAAAATAAAGGGATTTTAACTGAAAAAGGAAATAAATAATTTATATTATTACCCAAATTTTCTTTACTTCGATTATTTTCTTTTAAAATTATCATTTATTAATTTAAGGCTTCTTGGTTGAAGTCGCTCGCTAATTAATTAAAAATTAGAATGTAAATAGCTTAAGTGAGTTTTCCGAATAAAAAATTCAGAATTATTCGCTATATATTTTTCCTAATTTTACCTTCATAATTTCCGAAACTGAAACCAATTCATGTTTAACTTGACCCAATAATTTGGCAATAGTTCCAATTAAAGGATAGATGCCTAAAAATTTAAAATTAAAATATTTATTTGGAGTAACAACATTTACAGCGATTGGGTATTATGTAAATAATTTAACTTATTCAGGACCAGGATAGAATTGATGCTTAACCTGATAAATTTTGTGCGATTTTAGAGGTCCAAGGAGGCGATGTATGGATACTAAAAGGAAAGAATTTCTATAAATGTGCTATGCTGATCGCTAATGAGGGAAACTCTCACGTGATAGATAACTCTCAATTTAGACTACCGACTAACTAACAACTAACGGCTTCCCATTATTCTTCCACTGCTTAACTTTTTTTTAAAATATTACCATATTTACTTCCCGGACATTTTCCATTAAAATCATCAAAATCCAAGGCCCAAACAAAAGCTCCTCCAAATCCTTGGCTACTTAACCATTTTATTTTTTCTATGTAGCTTCGTTGATTATCATAACTAAACCATTCACCATTTTGATAGAGATAAGGAACTAGAGCATTTGGATCATAAAAATCCTTTGCACCCTTTGCTAACATTTCGCAAATCTTTATAAATTTGGGAAAAATATTTTTGATTGAGGAAAAAAGGAAATAAGACAAAGTAAAATCAACAGGGATGAGACTCATATTTTTCTTATGTGACGACATCTAATTAAAAATTCTCACCTCATAATAAGCTGCAACTCCAGGTTCTTGAGCAAATTCTGTCGCATTAGCAGGACCAGATGCGAGGGCACCAACACTTAGGTCCTTACTATTGGGATTTGCCAACTTGAATCCATGAGCTAAATTATGTTTAGACTGATTTTTATTTTAATCTAGATTCACCATAAGTAGGAAATCCAATAATTATTTTATTTCTGGGCATTCCACCGCGAACCCAATAATTTGCAGCATCGATCTAGATAAGAGATTATTTTATCCAGTATTGAAAATTTAATAAAAAATATAGTCTGACTTTCTTGTAAGATATATCTTGGAGCTAAAATTATGTCTTATATGTAAGAAGGGGTATATTAAATATTGCGGTTAGGTATCTTTTAATTAAATTTGGCAAATTAAACTGTGTCTTACAATATTCAAAGAGTCATTAGTTCTTAAAGGAGAGTTGTATCCAGTTTTGTTCTCAGAAGTTATATGGAAGTCATAAGTCATAAGATTAATGAAATCAACGTATCTTGAAAGAAATTTTACATTTAAGAGGTTGTTTATATTATTATATTAGAGTTAACAATCCTGGCTGTATTGTACTAGGGAGGTACTGTACTATGATGGAATTACGTCCCAACCTTAATTACCTGAATTTTCAATGTTTGAGCGACAAATATGGGATACTGAATTAAGCTCAAATATTAGAAAATTTAAAAACATTTAAAGAAGAAAGAGGGAGTGTAATTAAACAAATAAATCTGTAATAATTTAATAATTTACTTTGCCATTGTCGCTATATCATAAGATTTCTTTACAATATCAATTCCAGCTGCAACTGCTGCAGTAATTATTAATTTATTTTTTACATTCTTTTCATTACAAGATGCCAAATGAAATTCCTGAAAAATTGTTAAATGTTAAAAAGTTGTAATTATTATTATTGTTCTATTACATTTATTTAATTAATTTATTTAATTTTTCCTTTTAACCTCCAAAAGTAAATTAAAATTTTCTTTTGAATCTGGATATTCGTTATCTAAGTCTATTCCATCAAAACCATGTTTCCTAACAAAAGCAATTGATGATTTGATAAACTTTTCTCGATTCTGTTTGCTTCAAAAATTTAATTTAAATTTACACATTTTTTATAAGCACCTTGAAGTCATATTTTGAAAGAGCGTGGTAGTTGTGCTAAAAGTCCAACCTCCAAATGACATAACAAATTTGAGGTTTGGATCATACTTCTTTAAATAATTGAAATTATTAAATATTATTTCTTATTAATAGAATTAATAAAATGTTTCATTAATTTCTGTCATATTTCAGGCTTGCCGAGAAAACAGTTAGAAAATTGGTTAATGATTGTGAACTAAAGTTCGTGATAGAAGTTGGAAAAAAATTCCCAGTTGGGCCTCATGCTATCTAGTGTTTCACCGGAACCGAAATTTTGACCGGAACCGGAACCGGATCCAATTTAAGTTCCGGTTCCCGGAACCGGAACCGGAACTTTTCTAAGTTCCGGCCCGAAACCGGAACCGGAACCGGAACTTTAAAAAAAAATTTTTTGCTAGCAAATTTTAAAAAATTTGCATTTTGATTTGGGTTGTAGGTTTCGCCAAATTTTTCGGTTAACTGAAACCGAACCGTCTAACCGAATAGAAACTTGGTTAACCAAAACCGAGCCGAAAATTTGTCGTCGTTAAGTGATATATGTGGATTAGAGAGTGGTGTATAAACGGATTTGTCGGATATAACTGTTTGATATCGGGCGATAAAAAGGTTCTGAATTGCAAGAAAATCCCATATCTACCTACTCAATTTCTCGATATCACACCCAAATCCACGATATTACCTATGACCGTTTGAAATCATGATATAATCAAAATCCAAATTAATCCATCCAAATCCTCCGATATAACATTCAACTTCTTTTTAAGCGCCGCAGGCGAAAAATTTTGAGAATCTGTGAGGACAAGAAGCCAAATTTCTTCCCTTTTCAGCGCCGCAGGCGAAATTTTTGAAAATTTATGAAGGCCATAAGCAAAAAAATTCACTATTTATAAGTCAAACTAAAAATTTTAAGAAATTTAGAGGGCCAAAAAACCACAATTACTCCATGTAAAAATAAAATAATTTTAAAAACAAAATTATAAACTTATAAAATAAGTTTTTAAGGAAAGAAAAACATGCAGATTAATTGTCCTATGCCTATTAATTGTCCTATGAATGTTTGATTGACCCTTTTCTTTTGATTTTTTAAATTCTACATTTCTACCTTTAGCGCAACAACACGAGCATATTGTCCTAGAGGATCTGAGTCATTAGGTAAATCGTTAGGATCAATCGCGCTTAAATTCAAATTATTATTTTTTAAATTAAAAAAATTCTTTCACTATGCTTCAAAGCTCTCATTAAAATAAGCAAAAGCATAAAATATATGTGTGCAAAGCCCCGGCGCATAATCCTCTGGAGCGAATTTTGCACGACCACTTCTATATATTGCCCAATTTGTGAAATAACAAGGACGAATAAATCTACCTTTAATAATTTTTTTGGATTTTTTTAAATTTATGAGTCCTCAAAAGTTTATATCTGATTTTCTTTTTAGTTTTTAAAGTTGAGGCAGGGTTCTTCAAAGTTTTCTGTTCGAAACTGATAATTGGGTTGTTTCATCTGTTAGATATGTATTATTTTGTTTAGTATAGTCAAAATTAAAATTTTTAGAAATCAATCATAACTATCAGGAATTAAAATGTGCAAAAATAGAGAACACTCTAAGATTGCGTTTAAAAATAAAATATTTAACCTTTATTATCAGAAAGATCAACTCTATCAAATTGACAAATTCCAAATTGGAATAAAAACGAAAAAATTATAAATAAATAAATTTGCATTTTCTGTTTAATAGAATTTTAAAAATAAATATATTCGGACATTGGACAACTTTGTCCGATAAATAAATAGGACAATGTTGTATAATAAATATAAATCTTTATGTATGTAAATCCGTCTAGGTTTCCTCCCAGCCTACAAAAAGATTGAAAATGGCGGGCTGTTGATCAGTTAGCAACCTAACATTGTAGAGACCTCTGGACTAGTCTTATCCCATCTGTTATTTCCAGGATTGTCTTAAAGAGATACATAGATAGACATGTCGCTCAAAGGCAGCGTAATTTACGAAAGATGACTTAAACTGAATTTATCTATGTACATATTATAGGGAGTATTATAAATTTTGACACTTAAATATGAATTAATATTTAAGTGAGTTGGATATTTTAAAAGGATTAATTTTTAATTAAATATGTAGAATTTAAATTGAATTTTCCGGCAGGTGTAAAAATTGGGCAGTACTAATAGGAGCCGTACTAGAGCCGTACTAGTTGAGAGAGAGGAAATGCGGTATCCAGATGATTGTAAATGTTTAAGAATAAAAGAAAGATTTAAACTTATTTAGCCGTATAAATTAAGTGAGTTGGAAATAAATATATCATTGAAATCCCCGTAATTATAATTAATAAGTAAATAATTAATTTATTAAAATTATTCAAATTCAACTTTATTGGAGAATCAACTTTAAATAAAATATTTTAAAAGGAATTAATTCTTTTAATCAAATAGAATTTAAATTAAATTTTCTGGCAGGTGTAAAAATTTTTTAAATAAAAATCCATTTATTTACGTGGATAAGTTTAATTTTGTTGCGTTTAGAGTTTGAGGCATGTGATGAAATGAAAATAAATTTTAAAATAAACTTTGGTTTTTGAGTGGAAATTTTAATGATTTTTATAATGAATTTTAAAATAAAAACTTAAAATATCTAAATCAGTTGACAAAAATAAATAAAATATTAAAGAAATTTACATCCCATCTCAGTTTCAAACTCCAAACTAGGTTTAAAAGGTAACATCCCTCTTACTTATGGTCGTACTTTTCTTATTATGCAATAATCTAAGGGAAACTAAAGAAAAATGAGATAAAGGAGTTGAAGAGGGAAAAAAGATTTAATAAAATTTATTAGAAAGTTGATATATTTCAAAATTTATTAAAAAATATTTTTAAATTTATTGTGGATTTATTTGTGCTCGATTAAAAACGGCATTTCGATAGGGTGTGTTTGTTAAAATACAAATAATTGGGTTAAATACAGGTATTAAATGATAAGAAACGAAAATTAATATTCTAATAATGTTCATTGTATTGTTGGTTGTTTTTGAATTGAGCATAAGAAATACGTTTCCTGCTTGGATGATAAAGGGTACAATAGCCTATAAATTAAAAAAAATTCTCTTAATCTAAATTTCAAGCAAAAAACTTGCCAAAATAATCAAAACTTTTGTTAAAAGTTTATTTAATCTTTTTAAATTTCCATCTAAATTATTGTTCAAATTGACATATCTAATCATTTTAAATCCGCAAACAATTATTATTAAATATGAAAATATTTCACCAAAAGCTGTCGGTAAAAGTGAAAAAATATTCACCTACATATTTTTTAACAAAATATTTAAAAAATATTATTTATTTAAAAATCACCGTTTCCATTTTACATTGAAAAAACGGCCAAGTTTTGTTAAAATTATCAAAATGTTTAATACCCCCATTAGAATATGGAATAATAAACAAAACCAAATTTAAAGAAAAAAATAAAGTTACAACTAAAGCTATTGATGCCATATACAAATAATGACGATAATTAATTTTCATATTCCTTTTAAAGTTTAGAGAGATATTTTTAATACATATTATCGTTTATCCTATAATTGTACTCCCCCTTGAATTAGAGAACTTCGATCTTAAATAATACTCCCCTCTCGAGGAGAGTTGAAAAATAGTAGAGAGTGAGACTCTTAATCTTTATTGTAAGACTTGGATTTTTTCGATCTGGTCTCGGGTGAAATCTTGGTCTCGACTTTTTTGGTCTTTTCTAAACTTGCACCCCTAAGAATTGAATTTTTTTAGATTTGTTATTGTATTTCCAAAATGGAAGAAATCTGGCTTCTTGGCCTTCCAAAATTCTTAAAATTTTCGCCTCCGGCACTGGAAAAGGAAGAAATTTGGGTCTCCTTTCGAGGAGAGTTGATAACTCACGCGAGTTCTTATTATATAAACTCTCGGGAGCTCTATTAAGAATATACAGCATTTTATACATATACCTGTTCAAAACTAAATATCTATAAATAAATTGAACACACAATCCAAACAAATTTAAATTAAGAATATATTCCCAAAACACTAGAAAAATATAAGCTATAAATGGATCAAAATTTTCTTTTATAAAAAAACTAAGCAAAATTCCATTGGGAAATATATATGTATTCACTTCATTATCAAATAAATGAAACTAAAAACTAATTAAAATTTTAACTTTATTTTCTGTCTTTAATTACCCCCTCAACAAACAATTGAACAGTTAACATTAAAATATCCAAAACACAATTTTGTAACAGAATTCGACTGTGTGTTTTCATTTCTTTCGGCGTTTTGAAAATGATTAAAATAATCAGAATAATATTTAAAGGAAAACAATTAATATACAAACAAAATAATCAAAATTAAATAAAATATCAAGTAAATCTAATAACATTTTTATTTAGTATTTTTTGAAAGTTAAAATTTTTATTTCTCAAAATTAATGGCAAAACTCCATTAAAAAGTTCTCATCAAAATATGAAAATATTAATTTACTGTCTAAAATACAAAAAATATTTTTGAGAAAATTGTCTATGTATTTACGTTAAAAATTTTTTGGCACAAACAAATCGTGAGATTTTTAATTGCTTGGTTCACTTTTAAATTAGAAAAATATTTTCATTTTCTAAGCACTTATGTACTTTTGCAAGTAACTAAAAAATGCTGTCGTCAATCAGTTTAAGTTCTAATTATTAATAATTAAGATTTATTGAAATAAAATCACAAAATAATGCCATAAGATATCGCAATATATTGGCAAATTGTTGGCAAAAATGCCACAAATTAGTGAAATATTGAAATAAATTATTGCTTATTTATAGTATTAGAATAAACTCAAAAAAAGTTGAAATTTAAAAATAACTAATTTTGTTGCTTCCAAAATATTTCTGCTGATAAGTAGAGCTTGCCGACATGAAGGATAGTTGTTTCTTCACATCTTTCCAATATATAGAGAAGAAAAGTTTTAAGCTTTATATCGAACGTTATGTTTCTGGCAATAAGCTGTGAGCTCAGTTGAAGGAATTGTTCCTTGATGTGCATTTTGGAAGATACATATTATTAGCATTTCCAGCCCCTGTTGTACCCGTTTTAGTTACCCGTGATCCTCGTCAAAACAGCCAAAATTTTGCCAAAAAATCAAAGCCCTTTAATTTTGTCTGTCATAAACTTTTACTTTATTTTAAATCTTTTTTTTTATTATTTTCTGTAACTGATTGATTCACCACACATTTTGAGCATTAAAGGGGCAGACGAAAATAAAATAAAATTGAAAGTTTCTCTTTGAACACTCAATAAATTTATTTTGAACACTCATAAACACACAAAACTCAATCATTTATTTGAGGGAAGGGAAAAATGAAAAAAATTGAGAGATTGTTAAAATTGAAAATAAATCGAGTGAAAAAAGTTGTTAGTAACACAAATTACGCTCCTCTTTCATTTTTTGATAAAATTTAATTTTAGATTTTTAATTTTAAAATTTATTTTAAATTACATATAATGTTTAACCTTTTGCTTCTAATTTTTATAAATTAGAAAAACCACCCTAGAAAAACTAAAAAATATTGAGAGTCCTTCATTGTCAACCATTCAATCAGTCATCATGGCCATTGTGTCGCAACTATATTTTTTATAAGACAAGACTAAAAAAAGATGATAAATAAAGATCAATCTAATGTTAATAACCTCTAATTATTAATATTAGAATTGATCTAATATTTGATAACCTTCAGTCGTTTAAAAAAAGATATACCTAATTATTATTTTATTATCTATTGGAACAGAGATTTGTATATTTAGTTTGATTTAAATTTTTTTAAATTTTTTTATATTTTCTTTTTCTAGAATGATTTTATTTCTTCCTTCCATTTTTATTTTTTATTCTCTTTCAACAATAATTTTAGCTATATTAATATGGAGATTATTTAACGGATTTAATAATGCGGGTAAAATGCCACCTGGTCCTTTTCATTTTCCACTGATTGGGAATTTTGCGAAGGTTTTTAATTTGAATTTTAAAAATCCAAATACTTAATTTCCGAATCCGAAAACATCATTTAGGATTTTAACTAATATCGGCCTCCAAGTGGATACGATGAAAATATCCCGATTTGTAAATAATTAGGGGTAATATGAAGAAAACCCCAATTTCAGTTAAGGAATAACCCGGCATGACAGCTACTGAACACACAAAATATTTATTATACTTGAAAATTTATTCTCTATTTTATAATACTACATATATTATAGCTTGATTTACGTTATCCACATCGTTCTTTTGTTTATTGGAAACAACGTTATGGGCCGATTTATACAGGTAAAAATTTAATTTAGGCCAGGTTTTAATTAAATACATCTGTTTAATAAATATAACATTCCCTTCAAATCACCCGAATTGCTTTTTAATTGCGCAATGATCTCATATTGACGACTATTTCATAAATCTTTCATGCAATTATCCACCAATCATTTTTTATTGGGCTAGATCATATGCGAAGGTCATACCTGGACGGTGAAGAATAAAGATAAATTATCTGAAAAAACTGGGGGATGTTTTATTTTTGGCATAGAATGTACTATGTAGAGGTCTAGATTTGTTTAAATAACAACTAGTGGAAAGAACAATTGAATTTTTACAAATATAATTATATTCAATTAAAAAATAGTTTGGCTACCAACACCTTATTTGGTCATTGCTGGACATAAACAAATGCAAGATCTTTTAGTTAACTCTAATTATGGTGTTTATTTATTTTAAAAATTCAATTAAAAATATCAATTTACAGCTGACATTTTCTCTGACAGACCAACATTTTCCTATAGTTATGGCGTTTTCAATAATTTTTTACCTGACGGAGATGGTAGATTTTTTTTGTATCTTTGGAAAAATTCTTTTTAAAATAAATAAATTAAGAATTATATTCCAGAAGAGAAAATAGGTAATAGTAACTAGAGACCACCCCAGCCCCCTCCCCCATCGAATACACTAAAAAAGTTTCCGGAACTATCTTTTCCGGAAAATTATTCAAAAATCTATTAAGGAATTGTTTTATCAAGACAACAGGTATGGAAAAAGAACAGATCTGCAGCAATGGCAGCCCTTCGAAAATTGGGTATGGGACGTTCAGAAATGGAAAATCGAATTAATGTCCACAAAAATGCTTTGATTTTACGACTAACGGAAATTATAAAAAATGTAATAAATAAATTATTTTTTAAAAATATTATTTTAAATGAAATTTTATAGAAAAATGGAATAGTTGTGGATATTGCTCAACAATTCGATTTTTGTTTTGGAAATATAACCCAAAATTTGCTTTTTGGTAGATATTATACAGAATATAATCATCCAGTATTTACATTTATTAATTTATATAATTTGAAATATTTTAAGGAATTTGTTCACCTTAAGCAATTAATTGATAATACTATTAAAGAGGTAACATACGCTCTGTTTCATAATTATAAATGCACCAAAATATTTTATCTATGTTTAATTAGGTTGAAAATTTTATAAGTTAATAAATCCAAAGATAAATGGGGTTTAACTTTGTCTCAGCGCCGCAGGCGAAACTTTTGAGTATTTTAGTAAAGGATTTGAGAAAATTATGCGTGATGTAGGACTATTCTAAGGACAGTATTAATGGTGTTGAATCACTGCAAAGTTGGGCCCCAAGAATCTGGAATTTTGAGCTCAAGTTGATTTCCAGTGATATCCCCCTTTAATCCTTTTAAATCAAACGATATCCCCTTTAATCCAGCCACATCCCACTTAATACCCTTAGATTCCTTATTAAACTTGTAAAGAAATAAAAAAATATGTGCAACCTACTAACTAATAAATTTTTAAAGCAAATTTGCATATTATAAATATTCCTTAAAAAGGTAGCTACTGTTCAAATGCTTATTGTTAATTCTTGTCCGTGGACTCGCGCATTATTCCCAGCTTATTGGCGATATGTTCGTCAAGGATTTGAACTCCAACGTTTTTTTCTAAAGGAAGTAGATATACATCTTGATAAAATAAAAGAATCTAAACAATTAAAAGAATCTGAGATGGAAGAGCCTGAATGCTTTATTGAAGCATATCTTCAGGCTGCTATAGCAGAGGGTCAACATATAGAGGACCCGGCATTGTAATTCTTTGAATTTTTGAATATCTTTCATTAACAGAATGTTTTAGACGCCAAACAATGGGAATTTGTTCGGGAGATTTGTGGGCCGCTGGTATTGAAACTGTGGCTGCTACAATGACCTGGGCGATTGTTTATTTGTTGAATTATCCAGATATTCAATTAAAGTTTGGAAATAAAAATTAATTTTAAAAAATAAATATCTCGTAGATTACAAGACGAGATAGATAGACATTTGTGTGATCAACCTTTTCACTTTAGAGACCAAAATAATTTACCTTATTTACGTGCTTTTGTTGATGAACTCCAAAGAGTAGCTAATGTGTTGCCTTTTACTGTCCCACATTCTGTTAGCAAAGAAGCGAGTTTTTTTATTTTTTAGTAAGAGAAATCTAAATAAATTTTTAGGTAAAGTTGGGTGAGTGGATTATACCCAAAGACACCACAGTTATGGTACAACTGGGAGCTGTCCATTTAGACCCATCACTATTCCCACAGCCAGAAGTGTTTCGTCCAGAGCGATTTTTGGATTCTGAGGGAAATTACAAAGGATCGGAATTGATAAAACCTTTTGGAGTTGGAAAAAGTGAATTTTTGAATTTATAAATTATCTTAAAAATTTATTATTTTGTAATTTATTAATAGGGATATGCCTAGGCGATTCACTCGCTAAAATGGAAATATATTTAATTCTAGCTGCTTTGCTACAAAACTTTCATTTTGAAACTACAGGTGACAAATTATATAAGAATCATTCCGAACTATTTTAAGTAAAAGTCTAAAATTATCCCATAAAAAGAGTACCGGAAACTTTAGTTTCAGAACGTGGGTAAAATAAAATTTTGTTACTTTTAGTTAGAGTACGTCCGAGTCGGGTCGAGTACGAGTATACCCGACTCGATCTCTCGGCTTTTATACAACTTTACTCGTACTCGATACTCGGGGTCTTAGTACCCGGCATTACTCGTACTCGGAAACTTCATACTCGACGTACTCGGTTAAAACCGAGTATTTTTATGCCCCTATCTGCAGCGCAATAAGGAAGATTTTTGGCTTAAGGATCTTCCAAATTTCCCAAAATTTTCGCCTGCAGCGCTGAAAAAGGAAGAAATTCTGTCCTTGGCCTCCCAAAATTCTCAAAATTTTCGCCTGCGGCGCTGAAAAGGGAAGGAATTTTGCAACTTGGCCTTCGAAAATTCTCAAAATTTTCGCCTGTGGCGCTGAAAACGAAGACTTATGTGTATATTGGAGGATGTGAATTGACTTGGGCGGATTTTAGTTATAGTCGGATATTTCAAGAGAAGGATCTGGCCTTCCGAAACTTGGTTGTTCCTCTTCGCCTTCAGAAATTCTCAAAATTTAAACCAGCGGAGCGGAAAAAGAGGGATAGAGCTACGGATCTCGTGATTACCTTTCGACGACATACCTAATCCAATAATATCCCAAAATCTCTCGAATTTCCCAGATTTTGCTCTTAATACACCCAAATCCCTATAATCAGCCCAAATCCCGCTTAATCCCTTGATATCCATCTCATTCCTCTGTTATCACTTATATCCGCATAACCTACACAAATCCCCCGAAATTATATTATCCATTGATTTTTAACATAAAATTGGACGATATCATGGAATTTCGGCGGATTAAGAGGGATATCGGAGGATTAACGAATATAACTTGTATTTGTATGATGATCCCCTGCATCAGTGTCAACAAATGCCCAATACCCAGCATTTATGGTGAATAAAAGTATTGTTTTTATTAAAATTATTTTACAATACTGTTTTATAAAAATTACTCGATTACTCGATTTACTCGTACTCGTACTCGGCCTAAAAATTGAAACTCGTACTCGTACCCGGACTTTTCATACCCGGCTTTACTCGTACTCGGGTTTTTCCAAATTACTCGTACTCGGACGCACTCTACTTTTAGTGCTAAATTAATAGCTTAAATTTTCGGATTCCAAAATGATAAGCACCCCTAGTTTTTTAAATGTTTTATAAACATATTACCTATTTTCCTTTGTTATTTTCATTAAACATTTTATCAATTGTTTCAATTAAATAAGGAAATTGAAAACCCCTTAAATTATTTTTTATACCAATTTGCTTAAATTTTAGCAAATAAAAATTTTAAGAAAGGTGCGCATAATTTTTGGGGGTAATAAGCGAAATGAGATGAGGATGTATGATTTAAATAATAAAGGAAAATAAGTTAGGGACTTAAGAATTAGGGGTGCGTATATAAATTTTTGAATGCAGTGTACTAATTTAAATTATGTATTAATTTAACAGATGGAGTGATCCCTTCATTAAACAGAAATTTTGGAACAGTTACACATGCCGATCATTTTACTGTTTGTTTTAGAACAGGGCTCTCATTTATACTTTTTTAAAAGTATTCTACTTTTAAATCGACCTCCCTACTTACGAAATTGAATTTATACTTTTTTGAAAGTATATACTTTTTTTTGATTGAAAATGAAATTAAGGAATGGATCGGGCAAAAAAGTGAATTTTCTGGCCTACGGCTTCTAAAATTCTCAAAATTTTCGCCTGCGGCGCAAAAAATGGAAGAAATCTGGCTTAAGGACCTCCAAAATTCTCAAAATTTTCGCCTGCGGCGCAGAAAATAGATTTTTTGGCGCCTTCGGCGCCACAAAAGGTCCATTAAAATTGACAAAATGCTCAGTTGAAACAAGAAATTATTAGAAAAGATTCATTTACGAGAGAAATATGAAAGATTTGAGGACGAATAAATATTTTCTAATTTAATTTTGAGACTACTTTTTTTTCGCAAATTTTCTCCCTATATACTTTTTTATCGAGATTTTGATACTTTTGAGTGGTATTTTGTCGATGAGAGCCCTGTTTTAGAATAAATTTATGTAATAGTTAAGTTTGTGTTACCACTTTTTTTCTTAATAATGTACATAATGGTCAGACTTCCAACTTTAATGTTTTCCCTTTTCCACATTCCATATCTGCGACCTTTAAAAAACAAAATAAAAAACAGAAAATCTGTTACGAATTCTACCGCCACAATTGTGGCAAGTTCGTTTCTCGTGAAGAAATCCAAGATTCTCAAGCCATTCATCAAAATTAAACGAAGATTTATATGTAGATGAGAAGTTTTAATTTTTGAAGTTGTTCCATTTTTAAAGAAATGAAACGTCTGAGCCATCGCTTGCCACATTTTATGTAAAAAAATTAAACCTTTGTGATCGTAAAAAGAGGGAATTTTGGGAAATAAGAAAAAGAAGGGTAACACAAACTTAACTTTTTATTTAAAAAATGTAAAAAAATATTTTTTTTTTAGTTTAAATTGAGCCTGCGAAAGAAGGATGTTATTCTATAAAATTTATTTTTTTTATTAAATTAAGAGAAAAAGTCTAGTTGATTAAACTTCTTACTATTTATTTTTATTATTATTTATTTGTAGTTTTTTCCGTTTTTTGCTTTAATCGGAGCTTTTCCTTAACTTATTCGTTTATTTCGAAACAAATTAGACACGATTAGATAAAAATAAATTTCATAAAACTTTTATAAATGTTATTTATTTCGAAATTTTTCAAACCCAAAATTTTCACTTGTGTAAGAAATAGGACTGCGGCCAAGGACATTTTAAATGTTTAGCCTCCCGAGCTTTTTCAAATTAGTGTTTGACGCGTTTCGGCACTATTGCGGTACTTCTTTTGCTGGACTAATACTTTTCGGTATTACAGGTACGGAAAAATCTATTGAAGAACAACAAAAATCCAAACAGAAACAAACCTCCAAAAAGTCAAAATCCTTATTGTCATTTTATTAAAAAACTTCAACATCAGCCAATTTTCATTTAAAAAAAGGTAAATAAAAGGAGCCTTTTGTATGAAAAAATACAAAAATAAAATAATATTCATGTGATTTTTAGCTTTAGAAAAATATATGTATTTTTCAAATTTATTCAATTGCACTATATTTCTTAAAAAACATTAAAGAAAGTTCAAAATTTTGCCGTCTTTTTTACATATATTTGCACTTTTAATCAAATGCTTGTCAAGGATTATGATAAATTTATACCATTTTATACCTTATTTAATACTACATAAGCCATCTATGTAAATTTCATTAACATAGAAATGACCTTTTTAATTATAAAAATTCGAAAAGAGAGTTCTATGTATAGAGAGAATACCTATATAATAAACTCGCTGTTTCTATCAATTTAGACATAAATAAAATAAAAAATATGCCGAAGTCTTTAAATAAAAATATTCTTAATATACTGTATTTCTTCCAATAGTGCGACTCTCTCTCTACTAGACCAACACCTTCTAATTTATTTAACCCCTTCTAAACGAAGGTTGAAAAATAAACCCGACCGGTCGCACTATTAGAAGAAATACGGTATTAAAATTTAAGATGATTAAATTTATTATTATAATCATTCCACATTTGTTTATTTTATTTAAATTTAATTGTGAAGGCAAAAATGTTCAACTTAAAATAAAGAATGATTGGGAAGAAAATCGAGAATTTATTTATTTAAAAAATGTTGAAATAAAGGAACGTTTTGTAATGATAATGAATGTTAAACAAAAAAATAGAATTGAAAATTATCCCTATAATAAAACTGGATTATTTCGTAAACTTGAAGTAAATCCCGATACAAATGGTTTACTGCTATGGTAAATAACCAGTCAGCATATAAGTGGCAACTAAAAAGAAAAATTTTGATTGAAATTGCCAAAAATAAAATTATTAAAAAATTTTTGATTAAAATTGAAAAACAGGTATTCACGATTTTAATAACAAAACAAAAAATATTAGAGTAAAAAATAGTAGATTTTTGTGTAGTCCCGTTTTTAAAAATACTTTGATATAGCTATATGTAGTATTTCTTCTAATAGTGCGACCAGTCGGTTTATTTTTCAACCTTCCACTATGGGTCGGTTTATTAGAAGGTGTTGGTCTAATAGAGACAGTCGCACTATTAGAAGAAATACGTTATAAATAAAACCTTAAATTTAATCTTAAATTTAAGGCAATCTTAAATAATAATTTTAATAAAAATAAAAGTTATTATGAGACCTCTATATTGGATGAAAGTTTAGAAAATATTAAAATAAATAAAAAAGAAATGTTACTAGAAAACATCGAAAATTATAAAAAGAAAATTTTGTCAGGTTATTGGAAGGAAATTAATTTAATTGGATATAAAATTGAATTGTTAGAAAAACAAAAAGTTGAATATTCAAATGAAGAAAGTAGAATTATTTACATTGGCAATAAAATAAGTAAATAATTTTTTAGCATTATCCCGCCTTATATTTAAATTATAGCCAAAATTAATGAAAGAAAAAAGTGCCATTGTTTAAATTGTGGATCTGCAGAAAATAATAAATATTATAAATACCTTAAAGAACAATTTTTATGTAATCCTTGTGGTATGTACTTGTATTATCCGAAAAATAATGGAAAGCATAGACCAAAAGAACTTTGGTTTAGAACTAATAAGGTGTCAACTATAATTTATTTACAGTAATATCTTCAAATAATCAACCTTAATAAATTCCTAATATTTTATGGTTTCCTATTTATTAAATACAAATAAGAGATAAA